ATTTAATGCAGTTCCAGACAAGAGCCCAGCAGCATTTTGGGAGATAACTTGATAAGTTAGGGTCTATACTTTACATGGAAAAATCAAGTTCCATGAATTGCTAAGATAGACATTAAGATATATTACAAAACCTAGTAATTAAAGTAGTGTGGTCCTGGCTCAGGAAGTCAAATAAATCAAAGAACAAAACAGAAAATCCATAAGTAGACCTATGTTTATATGAGGACTAGTAAATTATTGAGGTGTGCTCATAGATCACTAGGGAAAAAATGAATTATTTAGTCAGTGTTGTTGGGAAAAATTGATTCAGTTTACGGAGAAAAATAAAACTGATTTCTTCACACCATATAAAAAATAAATTCCAAATGGTTTAGATCTAAATGTGAAGGGTAGTATTACAAAGTTAATAAACAAACATGTAGAGGAATAGCTTCATGTCCTCAGAATGAAGGTTAATCTCTTAGATAAGACTCTAAAAGTCACAAACCAAAAGAAGAAAAAATTATTTCCTTGACTACATCAAATTTAAAGATTTTGGTTCAAGGAAGAACATCATAGAAAAAAGTAAGATTGGTGGCAGACTAGGAGAAAAAAAATTGCAACATCTGAAACCAACAGTGAATTTATATCTGGAATATACACAAACTCCCATGAAAAAGACCGAAAACCCAGATAAAATAAAAAGACCAATAGAAAGGAAACCCAGGGGTCAGTACAGATAGGAAGAGATGTTTAACCCCACAAGTACTTAGGGAAATACAAATTAAAATGTGAGAATGTCAGATGATATTGGTACAGGGAAAGGTGTGGGGAAACAGGGACCCTCATGCGCTACTGATGGATCGTAAACTGATGCTGTTATTGAGTGCTCATCTCGTCGAGCTTTGAAGAATTAAAGATGTGCCCCAGCCATCGCTCTCTGGGGTTTATTAAAACAAAAACCTCTTGCATATGTCTACAAGAAACATATGTAAGGATGTTTATCTCTTCATTATTTGAGAACGCAAACATTGGAGGCAATTTAAGTGTCTAAACCTGGGAGGCTATTTCAGAAAATGTGGTTGCATGCACATCATGGAATACTATTCATTGAGGAGTAATAACAGGTCTCACATTTACATATATGGATAGATTTCTGAAGGAAAATAATAAACAGCATGAGTTTATAGCACAGTGTCATTTATGCACATTAAAAACATACACAAACCATCTGTTTTTCAAGGGCACATGTATATGAAAATAACATACGGACGGTGGATGGTAAGTTGGGGTGGGCCTTTGCATGGCAAGGCGGCGCTGTTGACATAGTGAGAGATTGTGCCTGGAACCTAACTTTAGATCCAGGTTCCGCTGAAGGCACTTTTGATGGTTTTCTTATAAGGTAATCATGCAAGAGTTTCAGGATAGTGGTGTTGGGAATATGGAAAGCTTTTTGCAACCAGGCAGGACCTTACCCTGGGCAGGCAGAGTTCCATGCCCCATGACGAACTAGCAGAGACGGGAAGCTTACCCTCCAACCCCATGTTGTCTGGTATCCATTCTTACTAACGTGTCCTTTCAGTTTATCGCAGTCAAATATTGCTTTTCTAAGATGTGTGTGTCAGAGTGCTCATTTTTGTTAAAACCTCCATCCATTTTAGAAGAATTTACATGAAATACACTAGACCAAGTGTCTAAGATGATGGGGAGGGAAATGGGGTTAGGGATGGATCAGGGGAAAATATAAGATGAGCTGTGCATAGACTGATATGAGTGTCCCATAAACCAAGAAATATCATCAATTTAATTCTGTGCACCTGGGGTACTTAAGAATTAAAATTCTACAATCATAATTTTCCAATAAAATTGTACAGTGCATGTAATACAGAGCCTATTGAATATCATTATTCTCTAGCCTTCAAAAAGATAACTGCTAATAAGCTACAATTACATTGTATCAGTATTGAAGGATTAATCCTTTTAGTTTGCATCCATCAAGGTCCAGGTAGAAAGATAGAACCCATTTTTTAAGTTTTTTTTTAACAGGATAATCAGCCCAGGGGGCTATCTAAGTAGGTTTTAGGGGGACTGAAGAAGCAAAAAGGGAGCACAAAGTAACTGCGAGAAGCAGCTACCACCCCTGGGACTGGGGAAGCAAAGAGATGTGCTTGAGGTCGTGAGAACCTAGAAGCTCAGACAAGAAAACCCCCAGAGCTGCAACCCATCCTCTGAGAATAAGAGCTCTCTGCCCAGCTGCTGCTGGTTCCTTTGAGCGCATGATGAGGCTGCTTGTGGGAGTCTAGCAAAAAGCTGGAAACTCGAACCACCTGCCCCTCCAAGGATGGAGTAGAGTTGCGGAGGACTTGTTTATTGGACAGCAGTCAAACAGGAAAGAATGGTCTTCTTTCCCTCCTGCCTCCCAGCCTCCCTCTAATGTTTCCTTGGGTAGAGTCTACCCAGCTGGCGAAGGAGAAATGTGGTTTGCAGAGTATTCAGCTCATCTTGGAGCTGGCTATCGAAGGCTGAGTTGTAGCTGAGAGACAAGAGCTTCAATACTGGCACATGGTCCAAACTTATTTTATGCTAAATAGATCATTTAAATTTAGGGGAAAATTGTAATATTGCTCTGCTTATATTCTGATGCCAACCCCAACTAGTATGCTGAAATTCGTTTCTGGCACTGATGACCCGGAGTTAGCACAGACCCGACAAGTTAAAGGATGTGGTCCACAACAAGACTGCCCTCACTTCAGACCAACTGGCTACAAATCTGGGGGCTACCCACAACCCCCCTCAGGTTCTATAATTCACTAGAATGTCTCACAGAAATCAAGGAAGTGTTATACTTACAGTTTTATTATAAAGGATACAACTCAGGAACAGCCGATGAAGACACACAGTAGGGCAAGGTCTGGGGGGCTCTCAAATGCAGAGTTTCACGCCCTCTCCTCATGGGATCAGGGTGTGTCACCCAGCCCAGTGTATCAGTGTGTTCACCAACCAGAAAGCTGCACTGAGCTTCAGTGTCCAGAGTTTCTATTGGGGTTTCATTACATAGGCATGATTGATTTAATCATTGGCTACGTAATTGAACTCAATCTCCAGCCTCCCAGCCCCTCCCTGGAGGTGGCACTAGCTCAAAGCTCCAAACCTCTAATCACATGGTTGGCTGGTCTTTCTAGTGACCAGCCCCCATCCTAAGTCATCTCATCTCTTAGTATAAACTCAGGTGTGATCCCAAGGGGCTCATGAATAACAAAGACAGTTCTCTTGGGAAATTCCAAGGATTTAGAGTCTCCCAGGAAGTAGGGACAAAAACCAGTCAAATTATTATGCCTCTTACGAAATGAGAGGAAAATATTAAATGGATGCCCAAATGTGTTTGACAACACAAGTTCTCATTCCAACTTTTAGAAGCACATAAGGTAATAGGAAATAGAAAAGCCCTAAGAAGTAAGCCATTTGCCAACACCAATAAGCTAGTTTGGTATGTTATAAGTGAACTTTGTTCCGAAACTTACTCTTACTTGGAGCTTGGAAACCCATTCTTCTTCTAGAGACGATCTTATCCAATGGTTATTCTCAGCCCAGTTTACAAAATTTAATAGTAATAATAACCGGTGTTTATTGAGCTAGAAATCTGCCGTATGCCAATGTGTTATTCTAGATTCTAGAAAGTAGTAAGGATAAGGGAAGAAGACGGGAAACTTTAGTCAGAAGCAACATTACAAAGGATTGTCTTTTTCAGTCATCTATAGAATTTTAAAAACGTTAAGTAGTCGTCATATTCCTGGATAAATATTCTGAGAAAAAAGTGGCCTCAGCATTGTAGTGAAAAATAAGAGGAAGAATATATATGAAGGTGCTTTACATAGTTTGCAGCATTGAGCAGTTGCTCAATGAATATTAAGAGGAAAACAACCCACCCAAGGCAGGACTCAGCCTATAGTACCAACATGGGTTTAGGACTTAGCATAAAACTAGAAAAAGTAAAGCATTTGGCCCAATTACTTAAAGGTGGTGAAAAGATAGGGCTGTGTTTTAGCATATGATCAAGATCTAGGGTAGTAGATGCGAATAGTCTGAAGCACACAGATGTGTGCTAGCAAAGCGTGGCCTGGTGGCTTTTTTTTTAAGTACACTCTAATTTAACAAGGTAAACAAAACCTCATTTAAAAAACATTGCAAATCACCAAGGAAAGACTTAAAAATAATGAGAAAAGAAAAACTAATAAAATAATTTTTTAAAGTTGATATTTATTGACCCTGTCTAGTATCTATAAGTGAGTTTATTTATTCATTTGACAATCATTTATTCGGTATCCAGTGCCAAGCATTATGCTGGGCAGAGAATACAAGATGAATCGCACATGGTTCCTGTGTGCATGGAGTCAACAGCCTAAGAGAAAAGTATTTCTGTCACAAACTGGCAGCGTAATGCAGGCCTACCCTTCAATGTGTGGTTTAATGCATTTTGATGTTAAGTAATCTTACAAGAAACATACACAGCTGTTAGAAATGATGGGTTTAAAGAATTTAGTGAGATATGAAAATGTTCTATACAGCTTAATGGAAAATGGAAGTTCAGAGAAATGGAAAAATCCTATTACTGTGTATAGGTATGGAAAACCTCTACTATCAAATATATAAATGTTTCATTGTTAATTTTTTCTCTTAGAGCATGTGTATTGCATTAAAACTGATTTTCACACTCCCAGGGGACAGTGGTGAGCCAGTGGTTATATGAAATGAGGCCACGTCTCAGTGCCTCAGGTTCGTTACTTGTAAAATAAGAAAAAGCCACAAATTCTCAGTTAACGTGTAAGGCTGGGTTCAAAGATGTGTACCCTATACCCTCCCCTCATGAAGAGGGTGATTAGGCTTAAACAAAGCCCTTTTCTCAGGCCCTAAACATTTCTAGGTGCGTGTGATAGAAAATAGCCAACGTATTAAAAAGAAAAATTTCTCATCGGAAAAGTTGTTACTGGATTTTCTAACCATTATTTGTTCTCACCACCCAGGTTACCCTTTCCCGACTGCTCCTCCTGTGGATCCATTTGCCAAAATCAAAGTGGATGACTGTGGAAAAACTAAGGGGTGCTTTAGGTTGGTAGATCTGCGAGTTGGATAACTTTAAGGCTAAGACATTGATTTACTTCTCAAGGTAGTATTTAAATTGCATGCAGTTCATTCTATCAGGGGCCTGTACCGCTTCATAACTTCAGCAGAGATGGGGCCTGTTTCTGGTGGCCACCCCAGTTTTCAGACTTAAAGGCCTTGATCTCTAGCACGCCACTTGGCACTAGAACATTCTTCTCTCATTCTTCATTTATGACTGTACTGCCATTGGCCCAGGTGTCTGCTCCTCACCAGCTGGCCACATAGAGAAGCATCACGTGGCACAGAACATATCTGTGTTTATTCAGCAGAGGCTGTGGGCGGGACAGGCCATGATAGACATGTCTAAGACCCAATTCCTTTTCAAGTGAATAGTCATGACTTATGGATATCTGTATGATACTAACTACGTAGACATTAAGCATTGATTCTGGTAGCTAGCTTGTTATCTCAGATTTAGTGAGTCCCCGCATAATTATGAGTACTATTTTGTCAAGACATGATGGGCTAGAGCTACAAAACGGTAGCATAGACAGAGGGCCTCCCATCTAGACACCTCTGCTTTGTTGGAAAAGCCTCCTTCTCTTTGAATCCTTCATTTCCTAAAACAAATTCTCTTTGAATAAAGATTTTGATGGCCACTACACTGAAAGTTCTGAATTTTTTTTTTTCTTTTGGTTCAGTGCTCAAGGTCTAAGGAGAAAAAATTGAATATAGAGGTTTTGAGTTTTCTTTGGATTACAAGGGTATTTCTTTCCAAGGAATTTTTAAATTGCTCTGTTAATGTATGTTGAATAAGTAGATGAAGAAGCAGTAATACCTGTTTTGATATATCCTGTAGATATGGCAAACCGGGCTGTAATGCAGAGACCTGCGACTACTTCCTTAGCTACCGGATGATAGGGGCTGATGTGGAATTTGAGCTGAGTGCAGACACAGATGGTTGGGTAGCAGTTGGCTTCTCTTCAGACAGGAAAATGGTAAGATGCAAATCGTATAGAAGCTGATTTTTCTCTCTAGTCTGCCGTGCTGTTTTAGAGTTTAGAGAATGGGCATGGTTATGTTCCTCTAAGCTACCGTGCCGCTTTTAAATGTGAGAAGTGAATTTCTGGCATTTGATTTCCTTTTTCAAAACAAAGCAAAGAAATGGATCAAAGCAGTATAACAGTCATGTTAACTATGGCTCTCTTATTGCAAGTTGAAAAATAAAATTCAAACTAGCTTCGCTGAAGAAGGAAGGGTTGGTTATGAGAATACAAGGTGTCTCGTGGTACCTATATTCATTAGTTATTTCTGCAATAATGCTGTAAGAAGAGCCTCGAAAACTACATGGCTTATGACAGTAAGCATTTATTTCTCACTCACATGTGTGTGGATTGGCTGAGGCTCAGCTGGGCTTGCCTCCAGTCCATGGGTTGGATTCAGGTTTTCTCTAATCATTCTGGAACCAGCAGCTACCAAGGCATGTTCTTTTCATGGCAGAGGCAGAAATACAAGAGCCATCCAAGCTTATTTCAAACCTCTGCTCACATCACACCTGCTAACATTCCGTTGCCCAAAATAAGTCAGCCAGCCAAACTCAGAATGAAGAGGCAGGGAAGTACACTTTCCCTACCAGGAGGCCTTGTGAAGGTGTGGATGTATATTACTACTACAGGGATGAGTGAAGATTGGGTCCAACAGTTCGGTCTTCCACAGTAGGCATGAGCACAAACACGTCTGGACCTTAGAAGGAACTGTGACCAAGAACAAGCAGGGCATCAGGAACCCAAGCAGCTGGCCGTCTGTTATGTCTACTTCTTTCTGTGCCTCTGCTGCGTTCTTCCCTCTTTTCCCTGTAGCCCCATCATTTGCCACTTCACTGTGCAGGGTGCTTCCCAAACAGCCAGACTTTCTTAGGCCCCTGTACTTTTGCACATGCTGCTGCTCTGTCTGGAGGACACTTCTGCTCTTCACCTGGCCTGTTTTGAGGCACTTGCAATAAGAGGAAGGCAGCTCAGACCAAGGTGACAGCAGTGGGAGTAGTGAGAAGTGCTAAGATTTGGAATATGTTTTGAAGGTAGCACTGACAGGCTTCACTAGTGGATTAGACATGGGTTGTAGGTGGGTGGTAAGAAGAGACTGGGGGATCAAGCTAAGCAGTCAGAGCTCCAGTGGCTTAGTTCTTGGAGAGGTCACCGAAAGAGTGAGCTTTCACCAGTTTCAGTCCAGGCAGTAAGACAATGCATCCAACAGGTAAGACTGCATGCGTACAAATCTACATCACTTATCTCCTACTGTAGGGCCAGCAGGGGAAACTGCAGATGTGTGCCATCCCAGAAGCTGGCTTGCGATGCGCTTGACCATTTCCTGTCCTGGAGTGCATTTGTACTCATGGTGCAGCTGTTAAGATTAGGGAGCTCAGGGCCAGCCCCGTGGCTTAGTGGTTAAGTGCGCACGCTCCACTACTGGCGGCCCGGGTTTGGATTCCGGGCGTTCACCGACGCACCGCTTCTCCAGCCATGCTGAGGCTGCGTCCCACATACAGCAACTAGAAGGATGTGCAACTGTGACATACAACTATCTACTGGGGCTTTGGGGAACAAAAGGAGGAGGATTGGCGATGGATGTTAGCTCAGGGCCGGTCTTCCTCAGCAAAAAGAGGAGGATTGGCACGGATGTTAGCTCAGGGCTGATCTTCCTCACAAAAAAAAATTAAAAAAAAAAAAGATTAGGGAGCTCAGAGGAGGGAGGTTGAGTGAGGAGCATTCAAATTTTGTTTGACATTTTGTTATCTAAAGGCCTTTAGGGGCCGGCCCAGTGGCGCAAGCGGTTAAGTGTGCGCGCTCCGCTGCGGCGGCCCGGGGTTCGCTGGTTCGGATCCCGGGCGCGCACCGACGCACTGCTTGGCAAGCCATGCTGTGGCGGGGTCCCATATAAAGTGGAGGAAGATGGGCACAGATGTTAGCCCAGGGCCGTCTTCCTCAGCTAAAAAAGAGGAGGATTGGCGGATGTTAGCACAGGGCTGATCTCCTCACAAAAAAAAAAAAAAAAAAACTCACACTACAGAATTAAAGGCCTTTAAATTATAGGTCTCTCTTTTCTTCTCCTATTATTTCAAGAAATATGGATTAAATTTTTTTCAAAACCTGATGCATAGGAAAAGCAAAATGGAACCCCTTTTTAATAGCCTTTAACTTTTTTTGAAATGGTGCATTATTGTTTTTTTGTTAGATTTTATTTTATTTTTTTTGTGTGTGTGTGAGAAAGGTTAGCCCTGAGCTAACATCCATTGCCAATCCTCCTCTTTTCGCTGAGGAAGACTGGCCCTGGGCGAACATCCGTGCCCATCTTCCTCTACTTTATATGGGACGCTGCCACAGCATGGCTTGACAGGCAGTACATGGTTCCGCGCCCAGGATCCGAACCTGTGGACCCTAGGCCGCTGAAGCGGAGGGCGCGAACTTAACCGCTATGTGACTGGGCCAGCCCTAGATTTTATTTTTTAGAACAGTTTTAGGTTCACAGCAAAATTGAGTAGAGGGTACAGAAAATTTCTATGTATTCCCTATCCCCACACACACATAGCCTCCCCCATTATCAACATCCCTTACAGAGTGGTGCATTTGTTATTAATGAACACCTTTTAACATTTTTTTTTTTTTAAAGATTTTATTTATTTATTTTTTCCCCCCCAAAGCCCAGTAGATAGTTGTATGTCATAGCTGCACATTCTTCTAGTTGCTGTATGTGGGACGCGGCCTCAGCGTGACCAGAGAAGCGGTGTGTCGGTGCGCAGCCGGGATCCGAACCCGGGCCGCCAGCAGCAGAGCGCACGCACTTAACCACTAAGCCACGGGGCCGGCCCTTCTTTTAACATTTTTGACTTGTTTTGAAGAAATTTTAAACCTACAGACAAGCTGCAAGGATGGTACAACAAACTGTATGTATGTTTCACCTAGATTCACCAAATGATAATTTTTTTATTGTGGTAAAATGTACGTAACATAAAATTTACTATTTTAACCATTTTAAAGTGTGTAATTCGCTGGCACCAATTACATTCGCAGTGTGCCACAATCACCACTATCTAATTCCAGAACTTTTTCACAAATGCTAACATTTTGCCACACGTGCTTTCTCTCTCTACTGCTGCTGCCGCTGCTACTCTGACTACTACTACTTGTTATTATTTTTATTATTCTGGAAACTTTGGAGATTAAATCAAAGATATCATGACCCTTTAACCCCAAATATTTAAGTGAGTATCTTCTAAAATCAAGGACATTCTCTTTCCTTATGCAATTTATTAAATTCAGGAAGTTTAACATGGGTACAAGAGAATTATCAAATATATTGTCCATTTTCAAACGTTGCCAGTTGCCCCAATACTGTTCTTTATAGAGATTTTTATTTTATGACCCAGGATTCTGCCCAGGACACATTAGTTGTCAGTTATCTTTAGTCTTCTTTATTTTGAAATAGTTTCTTAGCCGTTTTTTGTGTGTTTCATGACAGTGACCCTTTTGAAGATTACAGGCCAGTTTTTTTGTAGAATGACAAAAATTTGGGTTTGTCTGATTGTTTCCTCATGATTAGGTTAGTTTGTGTGTTTTTGGCAGGAATACTAGATAGGTGGTGATGTAGTCTTCTCTGAGCATCACATCAGGAGGCACTTGATGTCAGCTATTGTGATGCTAACTTTGGTCTCTTGGTTAAAGCTTTTTAATGGCATTTAAAATAATTTTGGGAGTGGGATTTCAAATGGAATGTATATTTCTCCATGAAATTTCTTTCTAGCAGAAAAATTTGCAGAAGATGCACCTTTGACTTTTTCTTTATCATTTTTCATGTTAGGGTGGTGACGACGTCATGGCCTGCGTCCACGATGACAATGGCAGGGTCCGCATACAGCACTTCTATAATGTAGGCCAGTGGGCAAAGGAGATTCAGAGAAATCCTGCTAGAGATGAAGAAGGAGTGTTTGAGAACAATCGTGTCACCTGCAGATTTAAACGGCCTGTGAACGTTCCCAGAGATGAAACAATTGTTGATCTGCATTTGAGTTGGTATTATCTCTTTGCTTGGGGTCCAGCCATTCAGGGTAAGCTGGCATTTCGGCATCTGGGTTAAATACCAGATACTGCTGTGCTTGTGTTCATTATTTATTGGGCAAGAGAGTGATGAGCACTTCGGATAATATAAAAGAATGAGGAGATTTGATCCTGCCTTCAGAAGGTTATAATAGACTTATTATACACACTGACTTACAAATGGACCAGTTATATGCATGCATAGCTAGAGTATATATATGATATATATGATAGAGTATAGTATATGATGAGCTGTATGCTTAATGAAACAGATCATATGTCTGCTATATATTGGGGTATGGGCTCTATTTAATGCTCACAACATTCTCATTTACTCCTCACCACATCCTTGAGAGGTATAGGAATTATCATCCTCATTTTAGAGAGATTAAGGAACTTGTCAAGACTATACAACTAATTAATGGAAGAACTAAAATTCCATCCTATATCTGTCTAACTCCAAAGTCAGTGAGTACTCTGAACTCCTGTGCTCTAAATCTAAAAATACTGAACAGGAAAGGGCTTCTGGAGACTTACCTGGAGATTCACACCAAGCGTTTCATTAATACTCACTTTATGACTGTTCTAGTGGTCACAAATCTACCAAATGATCCTACAGTTTAGCCCATTACTCCTCAAAATTGAACGTGTATAGGAGTTGCCTGGCTATATTGTTAAAATGTGGTTTTCAGTAGGTCTGGGCTGAGGCCTGAGGTTCTGCGTGTCTAGCAAGCTGTGCAGTGCTGCTGGTCCATTGATGACCTGGCTTTGGGTGGCAAGGCTCTTCAGCATTTCCCCAAGACCCAAGGATATCGTGAGACCTTTTAGAGGCTGCTCAAATCAAGTTACACTGTGTCTTCAGCATTCCTCCTGGTTAATCAGCCTAATGGTCTGACCAAGAATGGAAGTGAGTTGTTCGCAGTCCTTGTATGAGAACTCATTCTGGCTGCTGGGAGTTGCATCTTTCTTTACTCTGTGCTCATCAACTATCTGTTGCCTAATCTTATCTGCTTTTTTTTGTTCTTCAAATTGTTTCCATTGATCCGTCTGGAGATTTCATACCTTTTTTTGCCTGTTTCTAATTGGAAAAACATTTGGGTGCCTCCGGATTTGTGACACCTTTCCCATTTGCTTATTTCCCAGGTTACCAACAATGGGTCTGCAATTGTAACTTCAAGTAATTTCAGTACCCTGGGAAGTAAATTATATCTCAGGCTGGAGAAATGAAATTTTTTTTTTTTGGTGGGGTAGAATTTAAATTTTTTTATGGAAGTATAATTGACATGTAACAATATAGTCGTGTGCCACATAATGACGTTTCAGTCATCAAGGGACCACATACATGATGGTCTTGTAAGATTAGCACTGTATAGCTTAGGTGTGTAGTAGGCTATACCATCTAGGTTTGTGTAAGTACATTCTATGATGTTTGCACAACAACGAAATTGCTTAACCAATGCATTTCTTAGAACGTATCCTTGTTGTTAAGTGACGCATAGCTGTATATTAGTTTCAGGTGTACAACGTAATGATTCAGTATTTGTATACATTGCAAAATGATCACCACAATAAGTCTAGTTACTATCTGTCACCATACAAAGTTACAGTTTTTTTTCTTGTAAAGAGAACTTTCAAGATCTACTCTCTTAGCAACTTTCAAATAGCAATACAATGTTGTTGACTGTAGTTACCATGCTATACATTACATTCCCATGACTTATTTATTTTATAACTGGAAGTTTGTACCTCCTGATCCTTTTCACCCTTTTTGCCCACCCCAACCCCCCTCTCCTTTGGCAACCATCAATCTGTTCTCTGTATCTATAGTTTTGTTTTGTTTTTTCGTTTGTTTTGTTTTTTGTATTCTACATATAAATGACATAATACAGTATTTGTCTTTCTCTGTCTGACTTATTTCACTTAGCATAATACCCTCAAGGTCCATCCATGTTGTTGCAAATGGCAAGATTTTATTCTTTTTTTATGGCTGAGTAGTATTCCATTATGTATATATATTCTATTATATATATACATATATATAACACATCTTCTTATGATTTTATATGTAGAAAACCCTAAAGACTCCAACAAAAAACTGTTAGAACTAATAAATGAATTCAGTAAAGTTCCAGGGTACAAAATCAATATACAAAAATCTGTTGCATTTTTTACACTAACAACAAACTGTCAGAAAGAGAAATTAAGAAAACGGTCACATTTACAGTTGCATCAAAAAGAATAAAATACCTAGGAATAAATTTAACCAAGGAGGTGAAAGACCAATACACTGAAAACTATAAGACATTGATGAAAGAAATTGGAGAAGACACAAATAAATGGAGAGATATTCTGTGCTCATGGGTTGGAAAAATTAATATTGTTAAAATGTCCATACTACCCAAAGCAATCTACAGATTCAGCGCAACCCCTATAAAGATTACAATGGCATTGAACAAATAATCCTGCAATTTGTATGGAACCACAAAAGATCCCAAATAGCCAAAACAGTCTTGGGAAAGAACAAACCTGGAGGCATCATGCTTCCTGATTTCAAACTATATTACAAAGCTATAGTAATCAAAACAGTATGATATTGGCATAAAAACAGACACAGAGATCAATGAAACAGAATAGAGAGCCCAGAAATAAACCCATGCATATATGATCAATTAATTTACAACAAAGGAGGCAGGAATATATAATGGAGAATGGACAGGCTCTTCAATAAATGCTGTGAGGAAAACTGGATGGCCACATGCAAAAGAATGAAACCGGATTGCTCTCTGACACCATACACAAAAATCAATTCAAAATGGATTAAAGACTTGAATGTAAAACCTGAAACCATAAGACTCCTAAAAGAAAACATGGGCAGTAAGCTCCTTGGCATCGGTCCTAGCGATGACTTTTTTGGACCTGACTCCAAAGGCAAGGGCAACAAAAGCAAAAATAAATAAGACTACATCAAACTAAAAAGCTTCTGCAAAGTGAAGGAAATCATCAACACAATGAGAAGGCAACCTACTAAATGGGAGAAGATATTTGCAAATCATGTATCTGATAAGGGGTTAATATCCAAAATATGTAAAGAACTCATGCAACTCAATAACAAAAAAAAAAAATTAAAAAATGGGCAGAGGATCTGAATAGACATTTTACCAAAGAAGACATACAGACGGGCAACAGACATGTGAAAAGATGTTCAGCATCACTAATCATCAGGGAAATGCAAATCAAAACCACAGTGAGCTATCACCTCACACTTGTCAGAACGGCTATTATCAAGAAGACAAGAAATAACAGTTGTTGGCGAGGGTGTGGAGAAAAGGGAACCCTTGTCTACTGTTGGCGGGAATGTAAGTTGGTGCAGCCACTGTGGAAAACCGTATGGAGGTTCCTCAAAAAATTACAAATAGAGCTACCATAAAATCCAAAATTCCACTTCTGGATGTTTATCTGAAGAAAACACTACTTCCAAAGAAATATGCACCCCTATGTTCATAGCAGCATATTTACAATAGTTAAGATGTGGAAACAACCCAAGTGTCCACTGATGGATGAATAGATGAACTCATTTTACATGATGGAATTTGGAGTCTAAAACTTTGGGTTTGAGTGTTGGTTCTGCCCCTTGGTAGCTGTGTCTAGCCTTTATCTAAATTCTGAGCTCCAATTTCTTTATATCTAAAATGGGGATAATAATAATACCGACTTCGTAGGATTCTTGTAAGGATTAAATGAAAACAGGTATTTGAAATTGCTTTACAAATTGGAAAGTGCTGTACATCAGCAAGTCGTCGTCTTATATATATGGCATAATAGGCTAACATTCCAAGCCCTCCCCTAGTCTGATCCTGCTGTGCCTGATAAGCCCTCTCAGGACTTCTGTTGTTCTGCTTAGTATCTCCAAACAAAACAGGCACATTCCTACCCCATATACAGGCTTGTGCTTTTGCTGTTTCTTGAAGGCCGTTCTAACGCTTCTCTATTGATCAAATCCTGTCCTTCCTCTTAAGGTCTCTCAAAGGGGATAAACTTTGAGCTAAAGCTTGGAGGAGGGTATAGAATTAGATTTTCTTCAAAGAGGGCATGAACTGGAGGTGCATAGTTAAGCCTAGGAGTCCAGGTACGTGACCAATGAGCGAGGTTAGGTAGGAGAGGTGAGTGGGACCTGTTGAGAGAAAAATCCTGTGTCAACCCGAGGAGTTTGTTTTGTGCTAATGGGAGTCAGCATGAACACTGAAGCAGGCGCTTGACATGTCAAGTTCGGCATGGCTGCTGGAGTAGATATTACCTTAAAAACCCTCACTCAGGGCCGGCTCCGTGGCTTGGTGGTTGAGTGCGAGCGCTCTGATGCTGGCGGCCCGGGTTCGGATCCCGGGTATGCCCCAAGGCACCACTTCTCCGTCCAACGTGAGGCCGGGTCCCACGTACAGCAACTAGAAGGATGTGAACCTATGACATGCAACTGTCTGCTGGGGCTTTGGGGGGAAAAAAATGAATGAATAAAATCTTTAAAAAAAAAAAAAAAAAACCCTCACTCAGAGCCCTGTTTCCAAGGAGACCTTTGCTCTGACCTCATATGCCTTAGTCTCCGTAACCCAAGTTTCATATGGGTTGTTCAGAAGGTCAGGGACTTCTAAACAACTTCAGCTTATTAAGCATCCTTTACACACAGCCTTTCCCTCTTTCCTCTTCTAGGTCAAAAAAAGTTTCCTGTCTAAAGACTTGTTTGGTATCCTAATCCTCCTACTTTCTGTACCATTCCACACTACTCTGCCAAACAGACATGCAGACACTCATAACACGCCATACCCTCTCTGGACTGGCCTGGGCAGGGCTACCATTTTAAGTCCCACAGACAATGAGAGAGGCTTCCATCTGTAAGGGAGTCTAGTGTGGTCAGGAGTTGTTAATGATCCATATATAAAAGATATATATGAGGGGAAAAAATGAGTAGCTCTTGCTCTTTAAAATCAAAATGTAGTTTTACGTTTGGTATCAATAAGATAAGACTCATTAGAAACCTTAGAAGTAGGCGTTTATATAATACTAAGTAGCAGTCTTAAAACGGGGGTGCCATGGAAAGACCAATAGCATTGTTCTGGTAGAGGGTGTGGAGGTTAATGAGAACCAGTCTTTTTGGGTAATTTTGGCTAATTTCTGTGTTCCTCGTTATATGTACAATTATAGAGAATGCTGATGGTAATTATAATATCTGATTCCAGATCTTTATAATCACTGCTTATGTATTCAACACTAGAGACTTTGTTTTTCTGTGCCTTTTTTCGACTGCCCTTTCCTTTTTATTTCTTTGTTAAAGGCTCTATCACCCGCCACGATATAGACTCACCACCGACTTCAGAGCGTGTTGTCAGTATTTACAAGTATGAAGACATTTTTATGCCATCAGCTGCCTATCAGACCTTCTCCTCTCCGTTTTGTTTGCTTCTCATTGTTGCCCTGACCTTCTACTTATTGATGGGAACCCCTTAACCACAGCTGCAAAGCCAACCGAGTAAATGGATTAGAAAGTCTTGAGTATAAATATATTTTTAAAGAATATGTAGTATAATTTTAGCTTCTATTATTTAAAAAAAAAGACTCATCTGATTTTGGCTGTTTGGAAGAAAGAGCAAACTGCTTTTCTAATCAAAGAGGATTGTTTAATAATGACCCCACACTTTTGGAAAGTACTTAAAACTTTTCTAAGCACTTTCAAATGTTTTCTTATTTGATCTTCATAACATGTCTGAGTTGGCTTGATGAAAAGTGTTATTGCCATCTTACTGAATGGGATTTGAGATGCAGGAAGGCTGCCTTTTTATGGCCCACATGCCATGTAGCCTTGGCTACTTGGTCAAATAACACATAGCAAGGTAGAGAAAGCTAGACATAGGAATCATGTCTCTAAACAACTTTTACTCTTCCAACTCTTCCAAAAGGCAGAAGAACTTTTACATTTCCATAAAGCATAAATGCTTTTGGATAATTACATAGCTGATGGGGAGAATGAGGGAGATTACAATGATATGGAAATGATTCATATTTATTTGAAATTTCTTCTCAATTAGTAGCTGCGAGAAAACATTTTTATTGTTGTTTGGGAAGGTTAGAAACAGAATTGTGAGTGTTCCTGAAAATGTAAAATTATGTTAATAACAAAAAATATGGGCATTCTTAGCAGTTAGAATTTGGATTCTTCTACCACTGTATTTTATAAATTAAGGTACTCATCTGTGGTAACAGCTAATTCCGTTGTCCGAGTCGGCATACATTGAGTATGATTAAATATGTATTATAATAGACAAATCATCTTAATAAACATTTATGGCATTTTGATAATAAATCAACATTTTTGGAAGTTGTGGAGATTTAGAGTAGAAACTTTTTAAAGATGAGATTCTTGGGGCCGGCCCCGTGGCTTAGCGGTTAAGTGCTGGCACTCCGCTACTGGTGGCCCAGGTTCGGATCCCGGGTGCACACTGATGCACCGCTTGTCCCGCCATGCTGAGATGGCGTCCCACATACAGCAACTAGAAGGATGTGCAACTGTGACATACAACTATCTACTGGGGCTTTGGGGAGAAAAAGGGAGAAAAAAAAAAGGAGGAGGATTGGCAATAGATGTTAGCTCAGGGCTGATCTTCCTCACACACACAAAAAAAGATGAGATTCTTTTTCTTTTTAATTAGAAAATGGGAAATGACCCATAAAATGAATTCATCTAGAGTATCCATTCAGAATATTCAGACTTGTAAATTGGACTGGCAGTGAGCATAATTTATAATAACGCCTTGATTTAACGCATTTCCTTTTTCAAAGGAACCCAAATGTTCCTTTGTTCCAAATGTCTGTGTTAACAGTCCATTTAGAGGAAAAGAGCCTATGAGCGTACACTGCTGAGGCATTTCCTTTGTAGAGTTCTGGAGTCCTCTGGCTTGTCCCCCAACCCTCGTTGCTTTAAAGCTGACTCCAACTTTGTGTGTTTTGTGATTAAACAACACTGCAGACTTATTTCTAATGCCATCCTTGGAATTCATGTCAGGGGTGAAAGTCTGCCAGTGGGGAGAGCTTTCACGTTCTTCTGGAATTGAATGAAAATAAGGAAAACATCAAGATTCTGTGATGTTGCACAGTTTACTGAACTCATCCAAGGACATAGGAGAAATAATCCTCATTGCAGATGGTGAGAGATTAACTGACGTCAAGCGAGTGATGGAACTGGGTAGGATTCACACTCAAGTCATCTGGTTCAAGTCCATGGCTCTACCCGACTACCATCGCCTCGTAACTGAACCTCTGGTTATGGCTGAGGATGGCCTGTGTAGCACCTTCTAAGTTATGGTAGTTGTTTAGTAGTGAGGATACTGAGTATACAGGCACCCACATTGTAAATAAGAAAGCAAATATTTTTATATTTTCACTCTCTTATGTGTATCATATATCAGCTATAAATAGGTTAAAACTAAAGAGGGACTTCAGCTAGCCTCTGTAGCAGGCAGGGAAGGAATAAATTTATGGATTTTCCTTTTGCTGACACTTCAAGTCAAGCTAATTATTTCCCCAGTTGTTCTACTTTGATGACCAGTTTTGCATATTTGTGCTTAGAACTTTCTATGACTTCTCATTGCCCTTAGGGTAAAATGCAAACCATTTGATTACCTCCAATATTATCTTTGCCACCATGCCTCACTTGCTGTGTCCCAGCAAAACTAAACTGCTCTGAGGTCTTCAGACCTGCTTTCTCACCTCTCATGATGTTCCTTGTGCCCCGTATTCACTTCCTATACTTGCTGGCCTCCAACTCATCTTTCAGGTTACAGCTTAATTCCTTCTTCCAATCCTCTGGACTAGGTTCCCACTGAATGCTCCCTTAGTGCACTGGGCTTCCCCATCATATTACTCTTCACTCTATTGTAATTGCTGGCTTGTCTTCCCTGCTGACTCCCTAATGCAGGGACCATTTTTTGTTATTCGTCATTGTGACAGACACTACTACATAGTAGGTCCTCAGCAAACATTTGTTGAATGAATAAATCAATGAAACTATACTTCTATGGCAAGTTCATTTGGTTCAGAATGCTTGTATTTCATACACATTGCCTGACTGGCCAAGATTTTTATGTTTTTCCACCTGTGATGAAACCATAAACCATTTCTTTAGCAAACACTGAACTTGGTCTTTTGAAACACAAGTAGAAAGATTGTTAGTAATGATGCTGTTTTGCCCTGCAGTGAACCTTAATTGACATTTCTAACAATAATCATTGTTCAGAAATAAGAATTCACAGACCAGGGATGCAGAACAGCATTTGACCATCTTAGAGAATCTTTAATTTATAGACAAGCTGAAATGAAAACTCTGTGCTTCAATTTCATTCATTCTTACCTAATATAAGAGAATAAACTTCTATTTTATCTCTTTATTCACATTTTCTAACATAGTACTTGTCACAGGGGAGATAACCAATGTTTTTTGTAAAATGCCTGAATAGAATAATAATGCTAGCTAAATGTATTTAGTGCTGTTCTAAGCACTTTACATGGATTAATTCATTGAATCCTCACAGCAACCAGAGGAAGTAGATTCTACTATTAATCCGATTTTACAGGTGAAGAAATTGAGGCTAGTCACTTGGCATAAATTGCCGGTGCTAGCAAGCACTTTAGAGACCATTTCATGCACTAATTTTACAAAGGCGCGGCAGAGGAGGCCTAGGGAGGTGATATGATTTCCTCCACATTCATGCCTCTTTGCACACTCATTAAAACATTTATTAAATGGAACCCACTATCCACACTCAAATTAGATAGGTGCTTCCCCCGCCTCTTTACTAATTTACAATGAATAGGAGGACTTTTATAGTTGTATTTGGGGAACGAGATACATTTTACTTTCTGTCAACTTTCTTCTTTTCTTAAAAACATTTAGATTATTTTACCAGTCATTTTAGTGCTTTTAATAGTTTTCTTTTTTATAATATGCAAATTGGACAAGACTAGAAGAATGTATTTGTCTTAGTTAATTTTTAGAACTGACTTGCCTAAAACCCAGGTCTTCTAACTTGGAGCCCAATTCCCTTAGATTGCTCCCCTCTAGTCTCAAAGATGAATTTATAAACATGATTTCAGACACAATGCAGGAGCCATATTTAATTATCTTAAGTTGGCTTTTGTTGTTAAGGAAATCAGAAAGTTTGGACAACTCAGGGATGGTTTTCCATCCTAGATGGTTTTTACTACTACTTCTGTAATTAAGTTGACTGTCCATGTTCAAGATTTTGTGCTTCAGAGATATTACCACTGAGGTTGTATGTTATTCTTCACTCTAGCCTAGAGGTCAACAAACTTTCTCTGAAGGGCCGGACGGTAAATATTTTAGGCTTGGCAGTCTCTGTTTGAGCTGTTCAGCTCCGTCACAGTAAAGTCAGAGCTGGGCAAGCAGCAGTTTTATTTTGCCTAAGCTAGATATTTGCTGTGGCAATCGTGAATGACTTTTATTATTGAATTGCTTTTCATGGTGGGGATTACAATGTTTCAGAGTAATTTATTTCCCTGTAGACATTTTTTAAGTGTTATCAAAGTCTTTTACACCTACAGGAGTGTTTTACACATGTGACTACGGCATCTACCTTGTGTATCATAATGGAAAAATGTTTGAGAACCATTGCAATAGGCCAAATGCTGAGATGTGTATACTTTGTTATATATAATTGTATTATATATCCTTGTTCTCTAAACAGAACTGGTTATGTTTAGTGAACAGTTTGATTATTCTTAGTGTGTCTGTATATATTTGTACATACATGACAGGGTGTGTGTGTATACATAAATGCCTATATATACATACCGTGACCATCTGAAGGTCTTTGTAAGGATTGTTTCTGTTTCTGATCTATTGAATACTTTAAACCCCAAGAGATAAAACATCGTGAGTATTACAGGCAAAACTACCCTTAAGTTTATAGTAATTTAGTTTGTAGAAAAGGATTCCTGGATGCTTTATTAAGCCTTGCCTCCTCTACTCAACATCATATGAATTGTTAAGAATGTATAAAGTATCGTCATTGAGTTTGACTTTTCCATACTGTTAGTTAAGAAACTAAGACTAGAGTTAACTGAGTAAATGGCATGTTGATGCAACCTATACCTGTTTTGTATTTAATTAGATTCCTTATTCAGTAATTCAACTATTTAGTTTCAAGTTGGACTTCTTTGTTTTTATATTTAATAAGTGACAAGTTCTTTTTCACAAAAATAGTGGCTATGCGAATGTGATTTTAAATGTCTGGAGACTGAAAATTGAAGTGAATCATCAAGCTCTTTGGGATTTTTCACTTAAAATATACTGATGCTTAACTGTTTTCAGTTTCCCCCCTGCATATTTGCTATTAGGCAAATAGCCGTTCAGTTCCATTCTTCCGGAGATTAAGCGATACTCGAGGGTTATGGGGTGCTGCAGTGGTTGTGACATTCACCCAGGTCACTAGAGCAGTAACCATTTCATCACATACAATGTCTTGGCCACCTGGAAGAGTGAACGCGACTTCTCCACATGCCTTAGTCCCACAGACACGCTGATATGCTGGAACAATCTGGCTCCAGGAGTATTAATATACTTTTTTGAGACTGTCTACAAAATACTATTTTGTAAAAACTATGCCTTTAAATAGACATTGATGGGTTATATTTGTTTTATAATAATTGTGTACCTAATGTTCAATCATGATTGATTTTGAGATTTAGGTGTATTTATAAGCCTGTTCTATGTGAACTTTTACT